GTAATGAGTCCTCAATAGTGCTTAGAGATTTAATTCACAGGCATTAGGCATATCTTTTTTTTTTTTTTTTGGAAATTAACCTTTGGTTTCTTATATTTTTTGACGCTGCAAGGACCAGTCTTAATTATTCTTTTTAGTAATCCTACTACAGCAATACAGCATTTTGTACTTGCACATCATAAACTTTCAGCTTTGGCCTGCACTCTAAAACTGACAGCACCTTAGCTTTCAAAGCCTCCCTTTTATGATTTTGAGGGACCAAATAAGACTTGGCCTAATAACAGGAATATATGATCTTTACAGTTTGATATGACCTTAAGCGAAACATTCTTAGAGAGATACCTGATGGTCATGTACATGTTGTAGAAGTTACTAACTTAAAACTCAATTTCCTCATAAGGTTCATGTCCGAGTCTCTTTACTCCTGTTGCATATAAATGGCTCAATCGTGAGAGGCTTAGGTTGATTTCATTTGTAACATTCGTCTTGCTCTAAAAAGTTCAATACTGATTAATGATTTAGGCCCTAAACATTATGTGATGAAATCTCATCTCTTGTTGTGGTCATTATATTGGATACATTTGGTTGTTAATATTTGGTATCTGAAATTTTAGGGGATTGTTGATTCTGGAACGGTACTACCAAAAATTAAATTGACCATCAACATATTACCATAATTTTCAGTGCTGCAGTTCAGGCTAAACATTTCTAGTTTGGTTGTTAATCTTTTGTACCTGGAATTTTAAAGGTTCATTGTTTACTGAAATAGGCTACTACAAAAATCAATTTGGCCGTTGACAGATTGCCACAGTTCCAATGCTGCAATTTAAGTCATCCAGATGCTGGTCCACAGCATGGTGGTACCATTCACATAGGGCCAGAGAGGTATTCACTTAGAGTTATCCATTTCAGATTCATTTTTCTTCTGATCTGCATGAGTTGATTCATTTATGTAACCCAAGTACAAATAAACAAGAATATGAGTTAGTCTCCTAGCCTGTCATAAATCCATGAACACAATCTTTCTGAAAATATGTGGATAACATGACACTACGAGGATACACAAATAATTCATTTATCCTGTATGTAGGTCTTTTTTGTCTTATAGACAAGTTGTTTACTGGTGAATAGAGAATGTCAGAATTGAGTGGAATGGATTTAGAAGATTGACATTGTATTGAGGCTTAGTTGATTGATTGTGCATCTTGTTTGGGTCAAATCAGCTGTTTAGTTTGTTGCTCATTGGATGAGCAAAAGTTAAAAGCTTACTTCCATGTCAAATAGGCAAGAGATATCTTATTCCAATCTGTTAAATTGACTAGAGAGGGAAGCTCGAGTGGTAAACACCCTCCACCTCCAACCCTGAGGTTGTGGGTTTGAGTTACCAAGGGAGAAAAATGTGGAACTCCTAGGGAGGGGTAAAAAAAATCAGTTAAATCTGATGGTGATGAGCTTTGAGTTTTTAAACACATAACAAGAAGGTTTGCCCACAATCCATCTTTCTGATGCTGACATTGAACAAATTATTATAGGTGTCATCATTCTTGCCTTTCCTGTACCTTATAAAATTGTTATTTCAATTATGATTCTAATCCAAAGACAACTATATAATTCTGGTGCTTGTAGTATAGAAGAGATGCACAGTGCTGCACAGGATGCTGAAAATGGTTTACCATCTCGACGGCCCATAATTGAGATGACAATTCCTACTGTCTTTGACAAGACAATCTCTCCATCTGGTACTCAAGTTTGCTTCGTAACGTGTTTATGCAATTATCTGTTTGACAGTAAACTGCTTTATGATTTTCTATGGTGATATCAAGTTTTTGATCTGAAATAGTGAATATGAACATTTTAAAAGCAAAGTTGGACTCATCTAGAGGTTTGGCAAGCTCTTAACCCCCTGAATGTTCACGCGAGGGTAAAGTAAAAAAGAGTAGAGTTAACTCCTCCATAGGTGGAGCATTTGCCACCTACACGCTTTACACCTTTGAGATATTTGTCTATGTGTTGTGCTCACTTTATGCTTTGTGTTTTTTTGCCCTTTATACACCTAGAACATTTTCTCTAAAACTTCTTTGAAGTATTTGATTAAAATTTATGTAATATGGTGTTGTTTTAAATAGTAATTGGGTGACTTGGAATATTATGTACATATACTATTATATTTTTCCCCATTATGATTAGATTAATGTTTCTACATTCTTTGCCTTTTTTTTAATTTAATACAATTATTAACTATCTTCAATATTTATTTCATACTTGGACATATTTTAACTTTATCTTTTACAATATTGAACAAAGCTTAGGTTCTTGTAATTCAGTTGCTATGTTTATATGCTTTGCTTCTTTCCTATATTCTCAACAAGGGTAGTAGGGTTTATTGCAGTATACCCATGTGGGTTTTACATTTGCTATGTACCTCCCTTTGTGGAATTCCTAAAGTACTCCTTATGGTTTTAGTAGCAAGTTGATTTTCATTTTTCTTGTCCATATTTTTTCTTTCATCTGGAGTCAAATTATTATCTACGTCATCTCAAATTAATCCTAGATAATAAATCTTAAACCAATTCAACGTGAAATAAGTGAAATTAAGACTGAAATCTTTATACAAAATCTGAATTTACGTAAAAAAAAAAAAAAAACTTCTGTGATGATGACTTTAGCTAAGTTGACAAAGATAGTCTTATGTTTAGAACAACGTGCACACGCTTTTGGAGGGAAATGAGCTAACACTGTTTGAGGGGTTAGAATACTGGATTTCTAAAATCACATAGGGGTTTTAGGCTATTTCCTCAGCATGGGGGAGGGAATTCTAAATGTACAAACATGACAAAATAATATTCAATAAACAATAGTATTGTGTTATTCTCATTCAACAGAATAAGACAGATGTTGTTTCTTGTGGTTTTCGATCAATGCTAGAACTTACAGATATTCATTATTGTTTTACCTAGGAAAGCATGTGATTGGTTTATTCATCCAGTACACACCTTATAAACCCTCTGATGGCAGCTGGGAAAATCCTGTATATAGAGTTAAGCATCTCTGAGTTACATTCTTTTTTTTTTTGAAATTATCTCTGAATTACATTCTTTCACCCACTTTTTTCAAGTCATCTATTTCTTTTCCTTTTTCCTAGCAGGAGTAGGAGTTCTTTCAGATTTATTCACAAAGTTCTGGATCCATCCTGGTTGCATTTTTATGCATCACATATTTCATGTTTGTGATTAATAAAAAGTTACTGTTGTAGGAATCATTTGCCCAGAGATGCTTTAGCATGATAGATGAATATGCTCCTGGATTTAGCTCATCAATTATTGGGTATGATATGTTAACTCCTCCAGACCTCGAAAGAGAAATTGGTCTGACAGGTGCGCCACTGCTATCCTCTTGCTCACTTATCTTCAGCAATAAGATTAGTTGGAATGACCTAATATATGTATCACATTCCAGTGGCACTTCATTGAGTAATTCTCCTTTAACATGAAATGTGTGTACCTTATTAATGAACTTCTGTGCTACAGACCTTAAATGGGTTCGGATGTGAGTCCAATCTGTTTACTGAATTACACTGCACACCCAGGATAGAAAATCTCCAAAAGGCATTGTTGTCGTTAAGTTGCCACAACACTGTCGAGCTTTATTGTAGTTCAACGACTGTACCAAATAGTATATTCACCACACAGGATTTCAATCATGTTCATAGCTTAATCTTCCTGTAAACTAACGTTTTGTGATCAACTGACCTGACTTGTTTCTTGTTGAAGCATCAGTGTTTCACAGTAGGTTATAAGTACCAGCATACTACAATCTTGGAAGATAATACGAAACCTGATGTTTGGTTTATTTGAGTCCAGTTTAAGAAATTTGTGGATTCGTTTAGTTATGAGAACGAATGACTATAAGCTGGAGCATGCTTTATAGTCCCTGCAAACTGATATAGCAAATGCTGATGTGTTGTATTATATCTTGACAGGAGGCAATATATTCCACGGATCCATGGGATTAGATTCTCTGTTTTTAATGCGGCCAGTGAAAGGATGGTAATGGTTCTGAAGACATTAGTCCTTGAAGGACTCAAGTTCATAAAATGATGATTTTTGCTATTATCTTAACGTTGAAATGCAGGTCAAATTATCGGACTCCAATTGAAGGCCTATACTTGTGTGGCAGCGGGACACATCCTGGTGGTGGAGTAATGGGCGCCCCAGGACGCAATGCTGCTCATGTTGTGATTGAAGACTTCAAGAAATCATGAAGCTGCTGGGAGAGAGCAAGAACAACTTTCTTGTGATTCTTTTGACGAGTTCAATCAGTTAAAATAAGGACATCTAGTCTAAAACACGCTAGTGTTATAGCCAAATAGAAGTTCACCTCGTTTTATTATTATTGCGAATAAATTGCTTAAGAGTCTATTTATAGTCTATTAAATACTGAAGTCGGTTTGACTGATCACTAGCGCAAATCTCTTCGATTGAAGAATCTTCAGAATGAGTGGATCCCCTCAATGTAAAGAATAATGTTATGCTGGGAACGGGAAAATAATAATAATAGAAATTAATTCAAAGGCAAACGTTCTGCGGCTTGCTTTCTTTTGATAAGTTTAATGTTCGCACCTTTGAGAACTTTGGTAACTTTACAACTTATCAAAATGAAAGATATGGATTCAAAAACATTAAAAAAAAAAAAAAGCCTATATGATTTATTCTCATCTAGTAGCACGTACCCAGTGGATTAGTCAAGATGTGCATAAATTGATCCAAACACCACCATTATCCCAAAAAAAAAAAAAAAGAGGAGGGTAACACTGTCAATTTAAACCATTAGTTCTACAATTCCAGGTGTGCAAAAGCGGTTTCAGGAGCAAAAATAGTCGTTCCCTTAGTTCAGTAAAATAATTGCTCACATTAGCTAATCAAGTTTCAACATACAAGGCAGGTATTTTATAAGAGTATAAAACTTGATCACACTTTCAGCTTGGCTTTTGCAACTAACACTGAAGGATCCTATAAAGAAAATCCGATAACTCAGAGAAGGGTGTATCCAGCTATGATTACAAATCGAGAAGTCAGTTAACATGCCACACTGAAAAAGTATATATGTCATATTCTCTATAGTACATTTTCAACACTAAGATATGGTAATGTACAGAGGAACCATGTGTTATCTAGCCCACCAAGACGGAATAGATTTGTTGATCAATGTGCCAGCACTTGTGGTTGACTCCAATCTGCAATTAAATAAGAATTATTCTCTAAAACAATTTACAAGTTTTGCACATAAAGCTGGAAATGCAAAAAAAAATTTAAAAAAATCATGACAAATGCAAGTGAGTGAGAGAGAGAGAGACAAACTTTGAAATCTCTTCAACTGCTCTCACAACTTCAACAGAATCTGTTTCTAGCACTTGACCACCTAAAATTATTTCATCTAGAATGATATGCATCTGCAGAAGACAATCATCCATTAGACACAACAAATATGCAGATTGATACCCCAAAAGGCAAGAGAAATAGCACTTGTAATGTATTGCATAGGATGAAGTTTGCTGTAAAATTGTGAATGTGCCCAAGCTTTTACTACTAGAGCTTTATTAATTACCTATGTTACAGAAGTGACCATTTGTTAATTAGAAGTTATAACAGTTAAAAGTCCCAATGGTGGCGAATATTGGGAAAAGTGGAATTGTCTGGAAAATAGGAGTCCATCTAAACATCTTATGCATTGTAATGATCAGAGTTCGTCATTGAGGGAGCATGAAAGTTCTGCAACTAATTAGCAACAGAAGTTGATGTATCCGAATTGGTTTCTACATACGGATATTTATGTTTCAAAGATAAGTATATAAAATACAACAAATAGGTTACTGCAACACTCTTACCTTGCTATAATTGAATACTACATCAAGCTCGCATACACTTCTGAAGCATTTGTCCAGTGTTTCTACAAAAACTGCTATAAAGAGGACAACATCATCACTTAAGTATAGTTAAGGAGACAACTTAAACATGAACTTAAAAATGTGTTTTCCCACAATAAAACTATGTAAATAGTGGAAACAAATACCTTGTATTAAGTCGAGCATGGCCAACTCATTCTCAGAGTTATCAAATAGAAAGACAAAATATAAGGTAGCATAGTGCTTATACACGAGCCTTGTATCCTGGAAAAGATATAGTAATGGCTATTAGAATAATTTACTCTTTATGATTGAGATTTGAGAGTATAAATTACTCTTCTTAAGTTGTACATCACAAAAGAGGAGTACACAGCCATTAAAAGCAGTGTAGCATGTAAACTGTTGCCTAAGTGATAGTCTCCATGGGACTGCACTTGTCCTATTTTGGTCCATCATTTATCCGGTTTTAATCAATATTAATTAGCAAAAATCTTACAATTCAGTTGGAGTAAGTTTCCTACATGTATGTAGTTACTCACTTGATGGAAGAGGATAACTAACATAAAACAAAGAAACCAAAGGTGAGGGTAGAAAAATAAAAATTTCTTCCACAAATTTGCACAGCACCAAAGCATTATAAAGTGTCCTTATTATGAAAATCCTCAAGTTCTAAGATCATAGAGTTATGTACAATCTATATACATAATTTTCTCACATAGCAAAGCCAGCACAAGCATTAGATAGAGGTGCAGAAGGATACTTTCATAATCCGTATAGTAAATGTTGGAAGAAATACTAATTAAAAATTGCCAGACAATCAAGTAATTACCGGACCAAAAATTGCCCCTAAGCTCCGAATAAAATTGCTCACATTGTCAGGCCTGTTGCTTAAGACTGAAAAATGAAATCCAAAACGAAGAAACAAAAACTCATCCAACTGAACGAAATCTCAGTTTAATCAAATTGCGTGTTTACCTGCGTAGACGTGGCGGATGAGCTCTTGTTGCTTCTCCACTGGCTAATTCCAATCCCAACAACAAAATTCAGCAAAAATTAAACAGGATTGAATCAAAGATAGATCTTAGAAATAGAAAAAAAAAAAGATAATTATGAGCGACAAACCTGGAATTCGTAAAATTTCGAAAGGCGAGGCTTGCCGAAGGTGTTAATCACCATTACCGCCTTTATCATTCTTCCTGTAAATCTCACAACAGAACTGGCCAAGCTACTCTTTTGTCTCGCTCTCTCTGTTCAATAATTGTAAAATTGAATAAACGTAAATCACAGTTTGGTCCTTTATTTATTGATAAATTTTATATTAGTACTTATAATATCTAATTAAACCCATTTCACCTTGAATTGATAGAATTGTTTACATATTTTTTTTCTTTTCTTTTTCTTCACTTGCATCAGCTAAATCAATAGTGATTCGGCTTACTTTCTGACATGACTCAAACCCATAATCATTTAAGCAAATCTGACTTGTATGTGTACACATTTCCCCCCGTAAATACGGGGATTTTATTTTAAGTAATTAATGCACTTTTTAACTAAACATAAGAGTTTGAATGTAGTAAAATAGGGTTGAGTATTTTGCATGTCAAGTAGTTGAAAAATCGTAATATTCATGAAAATGAAAAGACAAGTGGACCAGCATAGAATGAAAAATTTCTAATAGTTAAAGATCAAATTATAAAATCGATATTTCTAATTATAACAACAAAAAAATAATACATCTAGTAAAATCTCATAAATAAGGTTCGAAAAGGTAATGTGTACATGAATCTTATCCTTATCTTATAAGAATATGGATATTATTTCAGATAAAACATCAACTCAAATAAAATATATTAAACAAATAAAAAATATATTAAAGAATAGCAACAAATAATACGATAATTAAAAGTACAATCAATAAGTGCAACCAAACAACATCCAATGATTTAATCATATATTACTATATAAGAAGAGGGAATAAGTATTCACCACAAGTCAACATGTGTTCCAATAAGAAGAGGGAATAACCAATATATTTATAAAAAAAATGACATATAAAATAAAATGGAGAGAGTATTGGTTTTTCAAAATGGAAAAGGACAAAACACATATAAAATTAAAAGACATATAAAAAAAAGTTGGTTTAACTCTCAAACATAAAAGTAACATATGTTATTAAAAACTTTAATAAAAAGTACTATAATTTACAATAAATAATAACTTAAAATATCTACAAGACAACAAAAAAAAAGACTAATTTTTGTACTGCTTCTGTCACATAAATTAGGATTGGGATGATTCTAAAATTTTAATTTTGGTTATACATTATAAAATAGCCGAAAAATTGAATAATATAGTTTTTTTTTAAATAACCGAATGAATCGTCCTATCGATAACCCTAATGTTACTTCTACTCTGTTTATTTTTACTTAAATTTAGAAAGATATGCTTCCTTTCTACCCTCAATCTTATCGCTACATTTATTTGCTATTTAAAATTGAAATTAAAAAGACAAATGACAAATAAGTTTTTATATTAGCTCACTTATGAGCAAAATATATTATAACAATCTTTACTAATTTTATAACAATACATAAACTATACTCCCTCCGTCCCATATTAGATGGGCACTTCCAACTTTACACGGTGATTAAGAAATCATTAATAAATTGGAAGACTTCATCATTTTGCCCTTTGTTTATATCAATGTACATTGAAATGAGTTACAAAAAATACACATACAATATAGGAATAGTCATATTAATTGTAGGGGTAAAATGGAAAGAATTAATTAATTATATCCTAATTTAATAAGTGCTCAAATAATATGAAAAAAATATTTTTAGTAAGATTCTCATCTAATATGGGACGGAGAAAGTAACAATATAACTTTATTAAAGTTGGGCTCGGGCGCTTTCTTTACTAGTATATATATAAAAGAGAACCTCTCCCTAGACCCGCCTACGTGGCACTACTACAAACAAAGATTTCCTTTTAATTTATTTTATTTCCAAAACTAGCCTTCTCTTTCATGAAGAGTTGCGACTTTTATGAAGAGTTGTGACTTTTTTGAAGAGTTGCGACTTTTATGAAATGTTGCGTCTTTTTCGAAAAGTTGTAATTTTTCCAAAGAGTTGTGACATTTCCGATAAGACACAATAAACATTTGTTCACACTACCCTTTATTGTTTATAAATAGAGGAATTTCCTCTCATTTTAAAATAACGAAAATTTTGAACTTCTTCTTCTTCTTCTTTCGGAAAATTAAATATTTGTGTACTTTGCTCCTGTTGAATGATTGACACCATTGTTTTTGTATCAATACACTGGTGAATAAAATTGTTCTATCCCGAGAGGATGTATTCCTTTAAACCTCGGGTACTAGAGAGGAATAATTTCCTTGAGGGGACACTGTGCATTTAGTGGGCTCAATTTTTTCCATTCTGTTTCATTCTATTGTTATAGATTCTAGTATGTTTTTTACAGTTATTAATTTATGCTTATATTATTAATTGTTATTTTTGAGTACATGCTTTAAACATTGTTGTTTGTATTCAAGCAAGTTTTCTCTACTGAAATTCTTTAAGGTACAATAAAAAAAGCCCTTACAAATCTCTAATTTCTTCATCAACAACGTCATCACTTCACATACAAGGACAAGATTTTGTGTTCTTTAGAAAATCCTCTAAGAGTTAATAACTTAGCATGCCCATATTTTTTGATTTTTATGTTGTTGTTATATATTTTTACTACGTTTTTATCAGTGGATATTATGAGTACTTTAAGAATTGAAAGTTGATTAAAGTGTTAGTTAATTTTTTGAGGTATGTTATTTCAAAACATGTAAAAATTTCTAGTTAGAATGATTTGTGATCATCATTGGATAAATCATAGTTTACTCTGTTTAATGTATGTTTTTTTTCTCGCTGTTTTGTTGTCTCCTTAAAATTGTATTGATTATTTTTCGTTTGGTATGTATATGATCTCACTTGGACAAACCTTTCGTCCTTTTAATGTTTTTCTTTTTTTCCTTCTCATTTGGCTCTTGTAAAAATTTTTTGTGTGAATTATGATTATTTTCGACAAGCTTAATTTGAAGGTTATGAAACAAAACCTGCTCTAAATAAAAGTAATATCTTAAGCTACAAAAGATATGTCTATTAACATAAATTTATTGTCCTTCATGTCCCAAGTCATTGCTGAGCGTTTGAGTTATCTGGGTTAGACTCATTTTTAATTTTTTAATGTTCGAGAATATTTCTTTAACATGAGTCCAAAATCCAACATTTTGATCTACTTGTACTTTCATAATACAACAATTATACATACATATTTCTGAAAATGTCGTAAAGTTGCATTGATGAAGCATCTAGAAGGGCCTTCAGAGCTGTAGTTTAATAAAGAATGAATTTCTAAAAAGGGTCAACAATATTTTTTTGCTGTTGTTTCAAATTTATTTTTTTTCTTCTATAAATTTTGTTAGAGTAATAAAGTAATAATAACGAAAAGTGGTGTCCGTTTGACCTCAAGTAGATTGTCTCTAAAAAAAATTATTTATGTTGTTGTGGTGTACATTTTTAACAGTCTTAACTTATTTATAACTAATATTAATTATCGAAAACTTTCACCTGATTTTTTTCACAAGGAGTTATTCTAACCATAAAATTATCAGATTCTATATTTTTCATGTAAAAAAAATAGAAAAAATGATGTTTAATCACTACATAAAAACATCACTCAGTTTTAACAAGACAATTATATCATCACATAGCTTATGATAAATTATGTAAAAGATAAAAATGATTAGATATGAAGATAATTTTAATCATTCATTATATATTTACAATTTTTGAGATATGTGATAATGTCAAATCATTTAATTTTTATTGAAATGTTCTTAAAACCTACTAAAATTTACATTTTTTTTTCTTATAACAGCTGATTATTGAAAAAGTTGTTCAAAAGTTTAGAAAGATTATTTATTTCGTGCGGGTATTTCTAATTCTTGACCTTCATACGTCAAAAAAGGGGGAAAATTGCACTGTATGGCCTTTGTGAGGCCACTTATTAAATTTTATGATTTTTTTCTTTGGCAAGCAAATTTAAAATGGGAATAAAATTTAAATGTCGGTCTTCAAACGGCCATTTGTGCAAACCTCCTAACCCTAACTCTTTAAATAGGTAGCACTTGGACTTCCCTTCGCATAAATAGGTTAGGAGTTGCTATAACTTGGAACAAATCTCTCTTTTATAGGCCCAATTTTTAAGGCGCTTTTTGTCCAAGAAAACTTGTCCCTTCCTGTTCTTTTCGGGGTTTTAGCAGGGTTTTAGAAGTACCCAAATCCGCCTGTTCTTATCTCGCTTAATTCTTTTCAATTCAGTTCTTGTCAAGGAATAATAATTCTTACAGAAATTGTAGAGCAATGGCGTCGGATACATTAACTTACACGGACTCGATGAACTTTAAGGTGAGGGAACTGTTGAAGGAGGTTCAGTTCGAATGCTCGCCGGAAACCACTGCAACTGTGGACAATGTTGTTTCTGGCATAAAAGAAGCAATTGATAAGATCCCTGAGGACCAGGTCAATCTCTTTCTAAAACCTTTATATCATCCTTAGAACGAAAACGTAATTTATGTGTTCAAGAAAGTAGTAATGTTATAGCGGCAGTCAGTGGGTATACTTTAAATCACACGAAATAGTAGTGGTGAAATACAACTTCTTTTTCTTGGATAAAGTAAGTGGTATTAATAACAGCATCAAGAAGATGCAATAATTCCAAGAGGGACAAGAAAAAAACTCACCACCATAGGCTAATCCAAGATTTTGAAGTTCTAATTCAATTTGTGGGTGAATTGGAACCTTTTTATTTTTGATAAAGTAAGTTGTATTAATAACAACATCGATGCAAGAATTCCAAGAGGGACAAGAAAAAAAACTCACCACCACAGGCTAATCCAATATTTTTAAGTTCTAATTCAATTTGTGGGTGAATCAGAGCCTTTTTTTTTTATAAAAAAAAGTAAGTTGTATTAATAACAGCATCAAGAAGATGCAAGAATTCCAAGAGGGACAAGAAAAAAATACTCGCCACCATAGGCTAATCCAAGATTTTGAAGTTCTAATTCAATTTGGGGGTGAATTAGAACTTTTTTTTTTTTTTTGATAAAGTAAGTTGTATTAATAACAGCATCAAGAAGATACAAGAATTACAAGAGGGACAAGAAAGAAAACTTAACCACCAGAGGCTAATCCAAGATTTAA